ATGACAAATATTAATTTAAGAAATTAAGTGGTGGTTATGTGGGTGTTTACTGTACTACTCTATTTTCTGTATATTTGTAAATTATAACAAAAAATTTTAAATACAATTATCACAAAGTTAATACAGAAAAATATATTACTGTTGATAAAAAATTAAAAGAAGATACAATTTTTCAACTAACAAGTTGGCAGAAAGGTTTTTTATTGCTACTGCTGTATTTTTTTTAATAATCTGAGTTGACGTCATAATGTGGAGAAATGAAAACTTCCATATTCCCAAAAACATGTACTGATACAATCTTCTTGAAAGGCAGTCTGCCAAGAACCAAAAGCCTTAAAGTGTTGTAAACCCAGTCTTTAATCCAACGATGCCACTTCTATGAATTTATCCTAAGAAAATGCTAGCTATATGCAAAAATGTAGTTTCAAGGGTATTCATTACAGTGTTGTTAATGATAGCAGAGCAGAGAAGACAACTAAACATCCAATAATAGGGAGTGGCTAGATAAATTATGGTAAAACAGCCATATACAGTAATATGATAGCAATAAAAATAATGCAGAAATGCTTTCAATTATAGGAAAAGGTATTCATAACATCTTAGGTGAGGGAAAAAATGGATACAAAATGGTATTTTTCCTCCTGTTAAGGAAAATAATTATATTCATATACAGAGACAAACAGGGAGAGGGAAATGGATACATGTATATATAAACATATAGACATAAATATATATGGATCACAAGTTACATTTCTTTATACACATCTGCCTTTTAAATTTTCAAAACATAGGAACTGTTTTGTCATAAGAAAAAAGTTTTTCAAAGAAGGAATTATTTTTCCAATTTTGCCTACAAACATTTTTTAAAGTATATGTTATGCTTTTGTTGACAAAGAATAAAAGATCAGTCATTTTCAATCAAATGGTCCTTCAAAATGTCTTTAACTTGCCCGTTCTCCATTCTCCCTGCTACCAAAACCCTCATCAAGTTATTAGGGTCTCACACCACAATTACATCCGTCGCTGCCTATCCCATGGTCTTGCTGCACCAATCAAATCTCAGACCCACACTCCATGTCGCTGGATAACTCAGAAAACCTTCAATGGCTTCCTATTGTTTAGCAAAAATAGCAAACTCCCAATTTGCTTTCTAATTTTGTCACCCACACACTGTAATACTTGGCAGACTCCTTGGCACAGAGTTGAATTTAAATAAACATTTGAAGAATGAGCAGGAATCCTTCAATCTGTAGGCTGTTTGCTCCCAAACCCACCTCCAAGCCTTCCGTCCAATGTGGTCCTGTTTCCCAGAAGCCTCAGCTGCCCTCCTCAGTGCCTCCCCAGCTCCCACACGACCCCGGGGCTCCTCAAGTTCCCTCTCCAAGGAGCCTTCTCTGACCTCTCCCCGCCACAGGGACTGCTCCCTCCTCCCATTTCCTGTGGCATTTGCTTTAACCACACAAGTGACCCTTGACTGTGCTGACTTAAGATTTTTTTTACCTTCTGCATGCCTGTAAATCTGGTCTCCTTTTTCTGCACATCCCACTCACTGCGAATTTCCATGGGGTTTTATTTAAACTGTAAGCACTCAAATACACACCTGTTTAACATGAAGCAGCACGGAAAGTGTTAGGCAGAAGAAAATCCCATGTCAACGTTCAGGTGAGAAACACAACTGACTACACCTAGACCTCAACTTCTACATCCAGACAAAACATTACCCGCCACACATCACTAGAAAAGCCTGCATAAAAAAATTCAAACACCTTAGGCTGGGGATGCTTTATGCCAGGTTCCACCCTGCCTACATTCTAGTACCATTGCCTAAGACCCTATGCTGCAGGTCACTGCCACACCTGGCGCTCTTACAAGCTCATTGCTTTGGTCATACTATTGCCTTTGCCTGGAACGGTCTTCCTTTGCTCCACAACCCCTCTCCACCTTCTCCATCTGATAAATACCAGCTCAAATATCACCACCTCCCGCAACTTTTAATGACCCTCTCTAGGAAGATGTAATTAGCCCCACATCATCTCCCTGCTAATTAATGCTATATAATGCAGATCAACCATATTATTTTTTTACACTTAAACACACACACAGTGAAATAGTTAAGGGCAGGAGCCATGATTTATGCATCTTTATATCCCCAACACCTGACACTGTACTTAACATACAGTAAGCAGCTTCAAAAAACGAAGTGGAATTAACTCTTTCCAAAAAACTAAAATAAGCCAGAATTGGGCCCATTTTAGCCCACCAGGACCCCTCTTTCCTTATCTGTTTTGGTTCTGCTAGCTCTCTCTGCTCTTCACAGCTGCCACTCCCCTGTTACCAGCACATCTGGTCCAAAGGGTACAGAAGCTACAGAATAATCATCTAACTAGTTTAGCAGAGAGAAGGCTGGGATATTTATAAATAAGGAAAGTCAGGAAAGAGTCATAGAAAGTCAGCAAAGCAGTCAGGTTTACAGCATGCTCACTGCTGATCCATGCTTAACTGAAAAGCCCAGCCCCAGCAGAGACACGCCTGGTCCAGCCCCCAGGCGCCTCTCTCCCTATTCTTCCCCCATAACAGCGTCTACGGCAGAGAGTAAACAAGAGATCCTCAGCGTGCAGAGCCAAGGTGGATTTGTGTTGGTACCACACTACCCAAGCCTGATGAGATCACCTGAACCTCTGCCAGATCCACAATCCCTTCCAGAAACTGCTGACCACTGTTTTCTTCGGGGACAGTTGCCCCACATCATCCTCTCGGACTCTAAGTCATATGGAACTCTCACTCAAAAGCCACGTAGTCCCAGCCACGCCAAGAGAAGGCAGCACTCCCCTATCTGGTCCCAAAGATTCCAGCCCAGCCTTCAGGCCCACTGACACAGAAGCCCCACAGGTGGCTCTCCAGAACTCTGCATGGACTGCTACCCTCCTTGGGTCTACCTGACCAATCTCATTTGTCTCCAGTAAAGACTTGCCTGCTACTGAGATGTGGCAGCTGGAAAAAAGATATGGAAAGCAGAATCTTAACCCAGCCTCAGCAGCCACCACGTGCCATCAAAAGGTGGGCACAGTTTTTACATGGAGCCTTTGCACTGGATCACATCAAAAGACCAGTAAGTATCCAAGATGCACCATCTAGACACTCTAAGTTGTTCCCATTTCCCGTCAGAAGGATGCCCACAGCTATTGCTGGTTTAGAAAATGGGAAGTACACAGATCCTGAGTTCAAGGAATGATTATGACTTTGCCAGCTAGAGTTAACAAATTTTATGCAACTCTCTAGGTTCCTTAGCAACCCACTCACATGCTCTTCTGCAAGTGGTCTTCCAGAATTACATCATAAGGGTAGACCTTAAATACACATCTTTAAAATGTCTGTGGTTCACTCATACACACCTCAGCCCAATCACGGGGGGCCCAACGTGCACAGCAACAAACACTAGTCTAGATGAGAAAGAAATGTGTTTCTGTTTCCTGGACTTTTGTTATCCAGAATTCTTTTCCACCTTAGAATCTCTACACTGTATTGACCTTTCTGGGCAAAAAACAAATTTATAAAGAATTCTGCTTTCTTATATAAAATACAATCCACCTTATAAATTTTTTTCTCATATTTTTAACCATTTTCTCTTGGAGTCCGTCTTTTATTTTTGAATTATTTAATTTCAAGCATTTACTGAATCAATATCTGATGCATATCACGTGCATATCTAATGCATATCACTTTCAAATAAGTTTTTTCATTGAATCTTTACATTTTTATGACATTATGGAAATGTTCATATATCAATATATACAAAGTAGATTGAATAGTATAATGAGCCCAATATTCCATTTCCCAATTGCAAAAATTACCATCATACTGCCCACTTATTTCTCCTACCTCACCAAAACTGGGTTATTTAAAAGCAAATCTCAGATATCATAATCTCATCTGTAAATACTTCAGTGTACATCTCTAAAAGAAAAAGACTCTATAGTTCCCATATTTGGAATACCATTACCTGGCCTAAAAAATTAATTAATAACAATTCTTTAATATCAAATAATCCTATCAGTATTCAAATTCCTTGATTCCTCAATTTTTTAATAGTGACACAGTTTGATGAGGAAAGTGATGCTCACAGAATTAATAACTTCCTAAGCCATATATTTGATACCTAGCAGTATAATAAGTTTCTCACTTGAAGGCTTGATCCTCTTTATATATAGCACAGCTACCTTTTCACCATGTTTAGAAAAGGTCCACATATATATTTTTAAACTTTTTCTTTACAAAAGCGGCCTTTTCTTTCTTTTTTTAGTACTTCATTGCCAGTTAAATAACCTTAAAAGTGGTCCAGTGTTTGGCACCTGAGGTAGGCTTTTATTAGAGTATTAATCACTCAGTGCCTAATATCACAAAGTAGGTGCAAGCATAAGAAACTAAGGAAATAAACTTGTGTGCTGTCTGTTCTGATGTAGTATCTACTATTACTCATACTGGGGCCTCCTCAAGGGCACCACAGTTGAAGTAAAATGATATGATGAAGATGATGATGATAAGAGCAACAACAATGCTCTAAGGAGAGACAAGGCTGGTCCCCTTTGGATGAAAGAAGGATTACTAAGATGTTTACGAAGAGCTTTAAACTTCTTAGGAGGAAAAGCATTAGTATCATCAAACTGCCCAAGTCAATTCTGGAAAGGTAAATGCGTTGTGAGACTAAATCCCTCCCCGCCCCCCCGGCCCCACCCTCAGCAACTCTGTTTCAATACCTAATACTGTGTGAGACAAAAGAAAGTAAAACATAAATCTTGCAGCCATCACAAACAGTCGCCTACAAGTATCTGATACATTTTTAAAAATAGATATAACTGTAAAGGATCTCTTTTATATGTCTTAAGATACTTTCGGGGATTTTTAAAAAATATAACAATGAAATTAAGAGCTGCTCAAAAATAATCTTCAAAGTTACAGAACACAAATCAAACAAAAAACAAAATAGATTCCTTTATACTGACCTTCAAAAATATTGTTCTAAGTTCGGCTGGATCTGCTCTCTTGGTTAAAGCCACCTATAAACAAACATAAAAATGTTTATGTTATTAGAACAAAGCTGAGAAATCAAGCTAGCAGACTGAAAGAAAATAAACTCCAGGTTAGAAATCAGTGGATTTCATTTTTACACTTAAAGCACTAAATTTCCCCAGTGCATAAACTACTCTCTGGATTTTAAATTAAGCCTCCTTATGTGGCTTCTAGAATGATAACATTCTGTGCAAAAAACCAGTAAAGCTCCTAATATGTAGTGTTTAATATATACCATTGTTTTTCCAAAATGAATAAGAAAAAAAAGAAAAGTTGAAACAGATTTGTAACCACCTGGCATTTTAAACTACACTCCAGAGTGACCCACACCTTTCATAGGCGAATATTAAAGTACAACTTGTTCGTTAACTATGTAAGAGAACATAGTTCTTAGAGAAGTTAGTGAGCAAGGCAAACAATATTAACAGAAGGGAATTACTTCCCACAGTTCCACAATGGACAGGCGTGAATGCCCAGCTATCTGGTCATGCCAAGCAGTCTCCTCCTCTCCCCTACTTTTAAGAAACCAGAAGTCTCCAATTATACAGCACTGAGAAATATAACCATTGTTTTGTAATAACTTTAAACGGAGTACAATCTATAAAAAATATTGAATAGCAACGTTGTACACCTGAAACTAATAATGTAAATCAACTATACTTCAACGAAAAAAAAAATCCTAAGTCTCCATATGTATGACTATTATTTACCACATTCTAGAATACAAGGGACTATGGTTAGCTTTCAGAGCAAAGTTTGACAGATTAGCTCAGAATAGGTGTTGTGCTTAATTCTCCAGCCCACAAAGTCCAAAAACATCATTGGGGAAAAAGAAGACAAACTTGAACATGGCTGCCCCAGGCCAACACAAAAGAGTCCTTATGTGGAACCAAACAGTAGGCTTATTCAGCGTCCCATCACCCCATCCTGCTGGCAAAAACTATCAGGAGACTGAATTCTCACCAAGCACAGCGTCACCCCACGATACAGCCAAGGAGGGGTTCCTGGAACCACCCCAATACTGGAGCCATGTCACTATCCATGGGGAGATTTATGCAAATTGTTCTAAATCCTGTGTGTTTGCAAATGCTCTTCTGAGACCTTTGGACAATGAGTTCTCTGTCTCAAAATATGTAACTGCCTGAGCTTCTTGGCCTGCCACTGTCAGGAGTAATTTTATTAACTAATCACTGGAATAGGAGAGATAGTTTTCCTGAAACCAGTTAGTTGGTCACCTTGTTTCCCAAAGCAAGACGGATAACTCTTAACTCCAGCTGAGTACTTGTAACCACCAATGCTATTTTTATCCATAAGAATTTGTAATCTCTTTAAAATCCTCAATTAGTGAGTGTTCTTTGCTGTTCAATTAACGAGAAGAAAACAGACTGCTAACCAACCTATGACTGATGATAGTGCTAAAAGTCTCAGAAGATCCCCTCCCTTTGGGTCTATATTCTGAGAAAGGTGGCATAGGCCAAACACTATTGGAGAAGATGAGCCAGCATGAAATGCCTCCATCCTCTCCTTTAAGAGCAAAGAAATTCCCTTCGAGTTCTACATCTCAAGACCATAACAGTTTTTTAAAAGGCCTACGGTGACTCAGCACTTAATTGGGCTTCCTTTTAAAAGCAAAGGTAAGTTTCCACAAAGTGAACTATTCTTGCTCCATCTGCATAACACATCCTTTAAAATCAAATTAATTCACCATGCCACACACTTCATAAAGCCTTCCCTGAGCGACGCAGTTTCAGAGTGAACTTCCCCCACCCTAAATTCCCACAGCGTTCTTTTACTTACTAATCCCAAAATGCACCACCAGGACTACACCTCTGTGAGAGAAAGAAAGCTTTCACTCTGTAACTCTCCCAGGGTGGAAGGCACAGGAGAAAACAATCCATATAGTGGCCCAGCACTTTTAAGTCAGGTCACCTGATGTGTACAGAACACTTCATAGTTACAGTTAAGTTACAGTTACACTTAAGTTACAGTTAGACATGCCAGCGTTCTGAAGGTGTACTGAGATGGAGTCTACCTGGTGGCAAAACCAAGAGCTAGCAAGTTCTGTGAACTGGAAAAAGGGAGCCAAGAAATGTAGCCTCCCTTTTTAAGCCAACTCAGAACACCTGCTCGGCAAGCGCAAGTTGCATCACCTGACAATCCTTAGTTCATTGGGCTTCTTAGAAGATTCATCAAACTCTAGATTTTTTCCAAAAGGCTAATTTTCATTGTTTTATATACATGTATATATTTCTCATATACTAATAGCACACAATACAATTCTCATATACTAGTAAATATCTGTAAATATTTACAGATACTATTCTTACAATCTGATGGCCTGATTTGCTTTATCATTACTCTTCTGAATTTGCGTTTATAAGAATAGATGCCACCATTAAAACAAAATATTTATATCAAGAGATTTAAATACAGTAATTTTCAAACAGTTAGGGAGTAAATCACCAAGAAGAAAAAGGATTATTGGCAGATGACTACGAATTATCACCATTTACTACTTAATTCAATAGAGAATTTTATACACAAGCACAAAACATTCACACCAAGTGGAGGTTAAGGGAGAAGGGGGGGAGAACTGGAAAAACTAGGCATTATATGTTTTTCCATAAACTGGGAGAAGTTAACCTTTGTTTAAAGACAGTATAAAATTTCAGGTCAATTCCCCAAATCTATGTTCCATGGGGCAGAATCTGAAAAACACTGAATATGTAAAATTTTTGATAAGACAAACATTATAAATAACAGCAATAGCATTTGCAAAACACATATACTAGCTAGGTACATCCCAAATACAAAAATAAAAACAGCCAAAAATAACAACTTCAATGACTGGTTTAAAAGTGGGGGGCAGTGGGAAGTATGGCAAGGAAAACCAGAAAGATAAAGTGTGAATTCTATGCTCTGCAAGTGAACCTTGACTGATACAATCAGTAACTCTAAAAGAAATTCCCCCCAAACAGTTACCATTAACTGGAGAAGAACAAAAGAAAGAGGGGGTCTCAACACATTTAAGAAAAATAATTTTTCACTGACTTCACTGAGCCACTCATTCCTCATCCTACAGTTTCCCTA